CGAGAAGCTGCAAATCCTAGCTCTTATAGATACAAATGCAAATATGTGAGACTACTGGTTTACCTATTTCTTCATACTTTAGACGGTGAAGGGTTTCAACAAGTACACTTCATCTCTTAATTAGCTTATTCTATATGAAAAGAGAATCATCAAAGATCCAAAACGAAAGGAATAATTTTGATCGTCCAAAATGCAGCATAGAATACAAAATTAGTAAAATTTAGACCGAGGTGTGTGCTTAATCAACTGGGCGTCATTCCTGAACAGCCACAAGTGTCACAATGGAGAGTGAAAATGATCGGGATGCTTGACTGGATAGCTGTAGGGGATGACTGTTCTGTTAGTGTGTTGCTAATTATTACTTGTTGCCATTTATAGTATATACAGGTTCATCCAGATCTACATGAACGCGATAGAAATAAGCATCTGGATTAAGTCAAGCATTTGATGAGCTAATTGTGCGTCTTAGCATTTAGCAGTTTTGGCAAAGTAGACACATATAACACCAGTGCCTTGCTTCTTTAATTAAACTTAATTGTAATGAACTGAATGGTAGTTCGGATTTCTGCGTGAGACAGGAAGCTTTACCTACTGCGGCACGAAAAAACTGCAGCATCTGGTGTAACAACTTAGATGCAAACCAGTACTTCCGGGTAGAGATGCATTAACATGGTGGCATCTTTGATGGTCTTTTTTCAAATGCATGAGAGGGATTATCAGCTAATGTATAAATATATATGCATTTGGTGTGGTGACAAAGAAGTCATTTTTGTGGCTGCATCAAGGAGGCGCACTTGGGAGTTCCAATACCCAATATCGTTTTTACGAGCTAGTATAAGCCAATTCGATTTCTTTGTGCTCGCTTCTTGATTGTAAGGTATAGGTCCCTGATCTTCGATAAACTTCTGCGTAGCTTGTCCCGCCACTCGACTGTCGTAGCTTGAGTTGACTCCAGAGGGAGTAGTGTTGGGATTAATTGTATGTGGTTTGTAGTATGAGGTGTGTTAAGTCTGTTGCTACTGTGATTGGAGTTGATCCTTTCGCCAGTTAGTCCTCCGGTATCGTCGACAGAAGGAAAGAGATAGTGATAATAATAATAGACATAATTAGCAAAGTTATTCAGACTAAGAGACAGAAAGGGAAATAGGAAAGCGTAACGACAGTCATTTGATTAAGTTTGAAGAATAATATATATACATCGGTAATAATAATTATAATATTAATAAGTTGTCAGGAGAGTAAGACGGGAGAGAATGTAAAGAAGTAAAACGACGAGTTTAATTGTCTACCCTGAATGGTGTACCCGATTTTAAGGGGATAGGCCATTTGGATGCAGTTCTTGTGTCGCTGCATGGCTGTCCAGCCTTCGCTTAAAGGCGTCCAAAGACGGTGCCATAGCTACATCTGCCGGTAAGGAATTCCAGGGACGGCAAACCCGCAGTGAAAAGAAGTGGGAGCGCACCCGGGTCCTTGCCCTCTTGTGAGCTATCCTTCTGGGATTTCCACTTGGGAGCCTATACCTACTCAATGGCAAAACACCTTTGTTTGGGTGATTGTGGTCATTTGCTATTTTGTAGGCAGTAATCAAATCCCCCCTAAGCCGACGGCAGCTAAGTGTGAACAGGCCTAATTTCTTCAGCCTTTCATCATATAGTTTGTTGCGGAGACCAACCACTGCTTTTGTTGCCCGTCGCCGAACTCTTTCCAATAGGTTGGAGTCTCTTCTCAGCATTGGGGGTGCAATAATATTATGCACCTCAAGGTGTGGCCTGACGTATGTTTTTTACAACCTTAGAAAGAGCTCAGGAGTGAGTGCACCTAACTGCCTATGCGTAAAGTGTACGACCGCATATGCCCTCGCTACATCCCCTGTGTAATTTACGCTTGTGTCCATTTTTTCCATTAGAACTAGACCTAAGTCGCGTTCCGACGTTGTGTAGAACAAGCTTTCTTTGCGCAGGGTGCGACTGGCATTCTGCAGTCTACAGGTGCGCAACTTCACCACTTTGCACTTTTTCAGGTTGAAAGTCATGCCACTGGCCACCGCCCAGTCTTCCAGAAGGTTTAGGTCTTCCTGCAGCCTATCTAATTCCTCCGGACACTTTATCGTCCTCCATATTTTTTTCGTCGTCAGCGTATAGGAGAGTCGGGTAGCTCAGACGGCGTGGTAGATCATTGATAAAAATCAAAAACATCAGTGGTTCTAGGATAGAACCCTGCGACACTCCTGATGACGATCTGTGGCAGAATGATCGGACTCGGTTAGCCTTAGTGCAAAATTGACTGTCGGCTAGGTAGTCCTTCAACCATGACAGAAGTGGCTCACCTATACCTGCCTGGCCTATTTTACGTAGGAGGTCATGGTGAGCAGTGTCGAATGCCTTCTCAAAGTCTAGGAAGACAACATGGACTGGCACATTCATATCGCAGCACGATGTCCAGTCGTCCCAAGCTGACAGTAGGTTAGTAACGCAGGATCTGCCTTTTCTGAAACCATGCTGGGCTTCATGTAGTATATTAGTCCTATCGAAATATTCCCTGATGTGGTCGTCAATAATACTTTCCAGTACTTTTGATACCACTGGGAGTAGAGCTACTGGTCTGTAACTAGTGGCGTTCTGCCTGTCCCCACCTTTGCAGGTTGGAGAAAGGATGGCTTTTTTCCACTCCCTTGGCAGTGTCCCCGAATCCATTGAGTGTTGGAGCAAGTCGCACAGGGGTCTACGGAGAGCTTCGGCGCACTGTTTCAGAACAGATGGCCTAATGTCGTCCCAACCTGGGGACTTCCCAGGTGCGAGTCGCTGTAGCTTCCTTAGTACTGTTGCAGGGTTTATTTGGGGAGTAGCCACTAGGTCTTCCTCCTTTGAAATAGTGGTGCCACCATTTTAGTCCACAACTGTAATATCCACATTGCTGTTTAGCTGTTTAGCGAAGGCTGAACTGAATGTTTCAGCCATCTCTAGACTAGTGAGATATTGACCGTTTGGGCCAATTAAGAAGCATGCCCCTTGGTTTGTCGGTTTTCTTTCCGGCATGAATCGGTACAAGTTTTTCGGGTTTGCTAAGAGTTTTTAGCAAGGTTAGCCTGGAATGACTTCGTGTCCCTCCTGACTCTTGCATTGCACCGGTTCCTGAGTTCGAGGTATGCATCGTGGTCGGTCTGACTTTTAGGTACACGCCACGTAAACCAAGCCTTCTGCTTCGCTTGCAAATACGTTGCGTGCCTCTCTTCAACCATGACCTCTTTCTCTTGGGCTGTGTTGTGTCTAAAGCGACGGTATCCGAGATTGCTATATGAATAACCTTTTTTACCACTTTCCAGCGTTCATCCACAGATAGGTCGTCCCATGCTAAGGGCCAGTCTGCGTCGGACAAGAGCCTCAGCATTTCAGCATAGTGAGCCTTGGTGTAACACAGACATGGTCGCGTAACATACCACCGCAAACGCTCACGGAGAACGAGATCGAAACCTATGACTACATGGTCATTACTTCCAAGAGGAGCCGTGATCTAGACCTTTTCGAAGAGTAGTTGGTCACTAGTTAGAATATAGTCTAGTTTTGATGACTTTCCACTAGGCCCCCTCTAGTATCGTCCCCAACATTCTGAGTCAGTCCCGTTTTTCGAAAAGTTTGCAGTAGGTTTCGGCCAACTTTCCCTTAGCACACCCGGAGCCGAGGTTCAGTGATGGGGCATTGAAATTTCCAGCTATAGTGATTTGGTCGTAGCCCAAATCTCGTATCCCTGTGGTAATGCTGAGCAGTAGCTGATTGTGCTCTGCCCCACAGGTGGGAGATCGGTAGATGCCACCCAATAAGTGCTTGGCGTGGCCTACGGTGAAATGACAGCATATGGAGTCTGGGAGTTCGATAAATGGTGGGTCCGTTGCGCACACACATTTAAGGTGCCTGTCAAAGTATATAGCAACTCCCCCTCCCTCCTTATTATCCCTGTCTCTCCTGACCAGAACCATATCACCTATACTGATTTCATTCTAGGCGATAGTGGGGTTTAGCCACGTTTCAGTGAGAATGATTATTTTCAGTTGTAGGCGTGCTTGGAGATTTCGAAGTTCACCTACTTTTCCTCTCAGCCCCCTCACATTGCTATATAGGCAACTGACAGTGAGCCTAACAACCTCAGAGTGTTGTGGGGTAGTTGACGTAAAACTGTCTGCTGGTGGGGGACTTGATGCTAGAACTAGTTGGCGGATTCCGATAGAACCGGCCCGTTGTAGTTTTTTCAGTGGATTTGGGCAGGACACTTGGGTGACACAGACTGTCATTCTCAGAACTGCATCGCTCTAGCCTCACTGAAGCTTGGGGACGTATTAAAGCCTCAGTTTGTTGCCTGCTTATAGTTCGGGGTCTGCTTTCGCAGCATCGGATGTGTCCTCCCATTTTTCCTTTGGTGTCATACCACCGTTGAAGTGCTATGGACAACTGCTCCGGGGAGTTGAATGTGACACTTAGCAGCTTTGGAGAGTTAATCAGTGTTAGATGAGCGGGGCGAGGTAGTCGGGATATGGAGATGGCTCCAGAAGTGCCAGGGGCCATCTGACATGGCAGCCAACTCCATTGCTGTACATCGTGCATGTGCTTTTCACAAGCAGTGCCGGTTTCCAGCTCCAGAACACCGTGGAAGGCATGAGTTCCGATGACTCCCTAACTGACTTGAACACCCAAGGTCACGACCTTGTATTGAGTGATGCAAACTAATATTACTTTTGGGGGATTATTTAGCAACACAAGACTTCCGAAAGTCATAGTAGTGGAAAGGTGTTTCAGACACATGTTTTATACAATTGACAAATATAGAACTAAGATTTGTTGTTCCTTGGACATTAGTTTCCTCTATCCTATTCAGTCATTTATTTTCCAAATAAATATGTTTCCGGAAAATATTCATAACCTATCATAGGAGTAAAAGTGAAGAACCATATGGCCGCTCTTTTTTCTGTAAAAGTTTGCATTTGGTAAAGTATGTTGAATATTGAAGTCAATGTACCTTGATAGGCGGAAGACACAGATCTTGCGTCACAATGGCTTGACCTGCTGCCACATTCGTGTGTTATGGCTTCTGAAGAGGCTAGCAATTCAATCGTGGGCTTATTATTTACTTAATCACTTATTTTGATATAGAGAAAGCCATCTGCCAGACGCTCAAAGCCTGATATGGCAGCTTTGGTAGATCAGCAGAGGTTTTTCGATGATCCGTGGTCAAGAAACAGTTTATACCAGTTGGATTCACTTATACCAGTAGTGGCTCTTCATGTAAGCAACCAGTGAAAACAACATAATTCTTCCATCTAGGATCTTGGAAAAAACGGGGTAAATATAAGGCATTTCAGTTCTCCAGCCTCTTCTCATTCAGAAAAACGTTTCCACAAGCATCCTGTTAGTTCCAAATATATAGTATTTTATATTCGATTCACTATTTCTATTAGACAGTATTTTCAAATAAAACTATAGTATTCTTTGATTATATTGTGCACAGCAGAATCATGTCGTAACGTGATTGCCGTCCTTCCACTGTATCCATGTAAAATCTTTTATCATTTGTTGGTGACTTGAAGCTATAGCAGACCAAAACGAAGCTACCTAATGGACGGATTAATGACCTTGAGCAAGCACTCAGGGGAGTCCGTGGTATGTTGAGGGGATTGTGGTTGCTGTACACGAATTACGTAGCAAATTTCTGTCAAATATGGTGTATAAGTATTGCGTAGACAACAGGCTCATAGGGTGGGAGAAAACGTGTAACCAACTATCATTTCTGGACTTTATTCACAACTTAGTCAATAATAAGGACAATTTGCTAGTCCTTTTTATAGTACTCACAAATTTCACGGAAAGTTTTCAGTCACCTAAAAAGATCAGAACGATGAATAAGTCAAGAAACACGAGGACTTACAATTGTCTTCAGTTTATGCATATAAGTCGGTTTAACGTAACTATGAGATTTATAGGTACGCAACGACATCTAATATAACTACTTTTTAGCATTGTATTACTTTTATATAAACTTTTTTCCCCAAATTAGCTTGTTTATTAGATGTATCGCACAGTCAGGTAGTGTTATTTTCTGGATGACGTTTCGAACCAAATTTATTGTTCATGACCATATCAATTATAATCACACTACTTCTTTGTTCTCTCCTGTATGCCGTAAGGGTAGTAGAATTTACCAGGTCCTGTTGAGCCTTTAAAACAAAATTTAGTTTGTCTAGTACCCTCCAATAATTGCCAGGTCAAATACGTAGGTCAAAGTAGTAGAACAGAGGCAGCAACACTAGCGGAGCATAAAGAACTAGCAAAATCTAGATTAGTTGACTCAAATAAGATAAAAGAATAGTTCAGCTATAGCACTACGTACAATTACACACAACCATACAATAGGATGGGATGAGATGAGTTTTGAAATCTAATATCACAGGGTGGAGGGAAAGATTGATAACAGAAGCTTTGTTTATCGAATCAGCTGCAAATACATGTAGTGAGAATGATTCAACACCTGTCCCAGATATCTGGAAAATTCTACTACCCCTACGACATATAGGGGAGAACAAAGAAAACTGTAAGACTCAAGTTTTGAAGTCGTGTGATTATAATTGATATGATCATGAACAATAAATTTTGTTCGAAACGTTATCCAGTAAGTAATATTGTCTCACTTTGTGATATGTCTAGTAAACAAGTTAATATGGAATTACTTACTACCATAGCGCCCAAGTTTTACAAATATATTTTTCCAAATTAAACACCCCTACTTCGGACACGTCTGATTAGACGAAGGGATTTACCAAGGTCTTTGTTAGGTATTTTCGTTGTGGGTTACTATAAATTAGAGTCACCCCCTTGTGAACTGTTGTATTTACATAAGACTGACATACTTCAAAGTGGTTATCCAAATAGTTGCTATATATTCTTGTTGAAGTGCGCCACGATTGTTTTCCATCAGACTTTCCCAGGGACTTTGAGAACTAAGCAGTAACGTTATAAAATCCATAGAAAGATGTGTATCGTCGTTGGGTATACCTTCAGAAATAGGAAAAGAGATTGTGTCCTCACTTTATTCAGGGTTTCTATCTACTATTTTCTATATTTTGACTTATCAAGTTGGGAATTTCGCATACACTTTGCTTAGTCTATTTTTTCTTAAAAATAGCTTTTCATATTTGGATTAACACACTAGACGATTATGGAGTTGTCTTTTGTTTTGAAAGAGTTTGTGTGGTGAAACTTCAGTTTTTGATGAATAAGCTTGAAGGGGTTTGAACTCGGCATAGTATATTTTGACTAATAATTTTGTGGAAAATTTGTATTCAAACAGCTAAAAAGTCTGTTAAGTTTCGTGTGACCGGGGTACTGTAGTTATTTATGCTTTTTCGGTTTATATGTAGGCATTACATTTTAGTAGTTTTCATAAGAGGTTTCAAAATTTGGTTATATGTGATCATTTTATCAAGTTCGTTTCAATTACTCATTTAATGTTGTAGAGAGTTATCTAACTCATTTTTGCGTATCTGATTTGTCTAACAGTTGATATGCCTAATACTTTGTCAAGACTTCTGATCAGGATATTTTATCATATTGTGTGAAATTTTAGCTTTTTATATTCAAATAATTAGCAAAAATATAGATTGTGCTTATATTCGTGTCTATCTTTAGCTGAGTATTGAAACAATAATCTCAGGGCATAGAATTAATTGTGTGACATCAGAAGATTGAAATAACCAGAGCTTCTTGAGTTGGGATGTTTTTGTTTGCTGGAGCTCTTTGCATTGCAAAAGTACTATACAAAACAGTTCCCCTTTACTTAATGGCTTTCACTATATATTTGTTTCCGCTTTGCTGAGTATTATAATCTACGCTTTCACTTGTACTTTCCTGTTTCTTTTCTGGTATTTTTTCTCATACATCATTATGCTTAATTTTTTGTACTGTCGGACAAGTATTATCAACATAAAAACCTGTATTAGTGCGTCTTGTTCCTTTCTCTGAAAACTCATTTAACCATTGAGTAAATTTAGTAAAAGGGAATGAAAGGAAAGAAGTATGTGTTCAAAGGTTATAGAATTCTGTTAAGACTGAAAAGGAAAACTTATAAGGTACTGATAAACTTTGTGGATGTGTACACCACTGCAGTCCATACCGACGCACATTGCGGAGTTTCTCTATCCATAAGTTTGTTTAGTCATGTTGACTCCAGCATAAGTAAGTACATTTTTCCAAACGACTGAAGGAAGTCATTGGCTGTATGGTTTGGCACGACACCTTATCGTAGGTACTGCTCTCTTCTGGTCTAGCTCTATATTAAGTAGACACGTGTGCTACGCGACTCAGTTACCGACCTGTAGCTGCTACCTATTGCAATGACCCAATGATCCACATTGGTTGCATGTTCTTCCACACCAGACAGGTCGTTTAAATAAAGGCTACACTGTAGGCAGTTACGATCTTAGTATAAGTCTCACACTATGTAAGCGGTGTGAAGGTGACGTTGTGCTGCTGGTGAATAGGGACATAATAGCACACAAAGATTTTCTGATCATCACTTACCCTCATCTTGCTTTGCTGTCACTGTTAGTACTATCCCACTAGCGGATTCTTTATTTTTTCTTAACTCAATAACCATTAATAGACATAGGCTGGGAAACACTACTAATAGAATGTTATCTGAGTACAACTCCATCCGTTTGGCACTGAGCCACAATTATTCCGTGACGGTTAGTGATACTGTCTGGCTACCAAAACCTAGGTAAGTGGAGCGGCGTTCGAATCTGTGATTTAGTACATGTCTAAAGCTGCCTACTTTGCTGCTGAAGGCGAATCGCTCAGATAGTCATTCTAGAATGTAATTTCAGTGCTATAGTAGGGAAGATGTGCTAGTTGGAAAAGTAGATTGGTGACATTATGGAATCCCATGCTGGCGAACAGACAACTCTATTCTTATGGTCGTCTGTTCCTGGTCAGTACCAATTTCAGATATGAGGAGAGACGTTGTTTGACCTGGTGATCATCACCAAGTGAACTCAAATATATGATTACTTCTTCTTCTGGAATGCGTACACTCCGACCAATCAGTAGTCTCTATATACCTACGACTGAACAAACATATCAAACAGGTAGCTGTAAAGCCGATACACCTTAACTTGATGAAAATGCATTGCGTCTGTTAAGCGAAAAGTAGCTAAACCCGTATCTTAGGTTGACAGTAATATCCAATTCGGACGCAGCCTGTCGCAATATCGAGTCAGTCGTGGAAACGATGGTAAAGGCTGTCAATGGACTGAAACCGAGAGTTAGTAGGAGCTTGTGAATTTCTGCTACTGATAGATGCAAGGAGACTCACTCAGGCGCGCTCCGAAGAAAGAAAGCTGCTTAAGTGCAAGTTGGCTAAAAGCCTTTGAAGATTGCTGGAGCATCAAGAGATGGAGAAGGCACCAGCAATAAGTAATGCCAGACAGCCATGTGGACTGACTAGAGAAACAGGTTGTGAAAACCAATGTTAAATGAAAAGATTTTCGAGGACAGCACCCTAATTACTCAACAGTATAAACGACCGGGATGTTGGAGGGGACACTGAGGAGCTGTTCATCTGGCCTAAAATACGAAATTTATGCAGCATCTTACTCCTACCTAAGTAGGATATAGACATCGGCCTTCCAACTGTAACTGAGGCTACAAAGACTGTATGCAATCTGAAACAGCAAATCAATGGGACCTGATGGTATGACTCAGGAGATGCTTAAGGATGATGGTGATGAACTGAAGTCTGGGTTAACTAAGATATCATGTGATGCATAGGAATCTGGGATAGTTCCGTTAGTGTAAATCATTGATTATCCCATTTCATGAGGAGGGAGATAAGTTTTCCTGTGATAGTTATAGAAGAAACAGCTTGACTAACACAGTATCTAAAGCTCTTATTTCTATAATTATGCGTAGACTGAGCGGTGGTCAAGAGAAACAAACGTGGGAAAACATTAAAGACTTTAGGCTAGAAAGAGGATGTATTCATCTCCACGCTTCGACGAACTCTGGGACATAGTTATACTTACCGGTATCCAGCACTTGCTATATTTCCTGCCCATAAGACGGCATGTTGGTTTACTAATGAATTCGACTGCAGTCGACTTTAGTGACTTAGATATTCACTTATTGCCAGGTAACAGCCTCATCGATTTGTTGTATTCTGGTGATACAATCTTTCCAGGTGAATACACTGATAAAATGCAGCGTCTTGTAAACATCTTTAGCAGAAATGTGGAGTATGATTCATCCCTGTCAAATCTAAGATGATACTGTAGAGCTGGACTGCACCAACTCCTAGCTTAAAGATGGAGAACAAAAATGTAGAGTGTGTTGGCTACTTCACTTATTTGAGAACTTAC